AATCCCGTAGTTCCGCCGTTTGCGCGGGAATTGTCTGTCAGGAGGGCATGCTTCTGACACGGCGCCGTGATATACATTCGTATGGCCCATCACCACACCATCTCTGTGATGTGATGGTTGTCGTCGATGCTTCTCATTTAGGAACACACCATTTGATCTAACGGCCGAGAGAAACTTTTTGCGATGCGATGCGTTGCTCCCTCCAGGCCAAAGTTTGAAAGTGATGTGTTGCCGAAGCATGTTTGTATCGAAACTATGGCAACCTCATTCACCTACACCTGATAAATCCCAATCAAATTAATACAGATTGACTTCCAGCAAAGTTTCAGCACCCAAGGTCCGTATGCAAGCTGAACGGGTGAGGGTGTGCGTGTACCCCTCGGTATGCACAAGAATGGGCATGGCGTTACTAGTGTGCTGGAAAAAAACTCTCAGTTTGCAAGGCAACATAGGGAAGATACCTACGCCAGTCGTGCGTGCCGTTTCATCACGCAGCTTCGCATTCCACGGCATCCTCCACTCCACTCCTCTCCCACCACTACTACTACCGTATCTTATTCCAAAATTTCATGTGCACGATTGGTTGCCTGTGCATGCATGTGTACGGTCTTGTTTGGCTAATCGGCTCCCATCAGGAACTTCTTTCCGACAAGCCCATGGAGCTCACGAAGTGCCCACTCTGCACCATTTTCAACCCACTCTATCAAACACATGTCATGTAAATATACTCCATACACCAACAATCACATTGGTTATTCAGTAACCAAGCTCTTCTGGAGTGTAATTAAGCAGGGTCTGCAGCGCGCTGGGTGCAATCTTCCTAAGAACGAGGAAGCAGGAGTTCTGGTGGCCGCCCCAGGAGCACTTGGAGTCCCACTTGACAGACGTGAGGAAGTGTGGGGTGAGCTGCTCCCTTGTGTACTCCACAGGGTGCGGTCCTCCTGACCACATCGCCCATGTGGGTCCTCTCCTTGCCACATGCGCTGGATCACGGATCTAGAGGAGGGGAATGGAGGGAGGGAGAAGGGAGAGTGGGAGGTGGGTGAGGGGGGAAAGAGACATGGGCAGGGACACGTAGGGATCTTGAAGGGCGACATGGGGGAAACGGAGGAGAGAGAGCGAGAGGGGATACGTAGGGAGAGGGACAGGGGCAGGTCATAAAGCAGGAGCAGGGAGGAGTGGTGGTTCAGTGGTGGTGAGGGGGGTAGGGATGGAGAGGGATTGTACAGTTTTAAGGTAACTCAGCGCATTTGAATGAGACAGCACAGCACGATGCCACACATTTGAATGAGACAGCACAGCACGATGCCATGAGCATCTGTATGGGGAGTACCTTGAGTAATGTTTGGAAATAATGCTCATCCAAATAACAGTGCCTGTGCCAGTTGTCACCCTGGAACCGAGGGAAGAAATGATAAATGGGGACACACGGAGGGCAGGAAAGATGAACATCAGTCATTTTTGCTGATTCAATGAAAAGAAATAATAGTCGAACAGAAGGGTCTGCACCCATAAACATCACCATACCACGTATCCACACACACGCCACCCCACTCCCCTGTGCTCACCTTGCACCATCTGGCGAGGGTGGGGTAGATCGTTGTGTCCGTGGCAGCAAGGAAGGCGTGGTGCCATGTCAGCGCCCACCACTGCTCAGGATAAGACGGGCAAAGAAGCAGTCACAAGTTGAACGTAAGGAATAGAATAGAAGCAAGGGGAAGACATCTGAGAACCCTTGGAGCATGGGTATCGTGAAAAAAGGACTGATTACAGGGAAATTTCAGGATTAAATGGAGTAAAGTATGGAGTATACCTGAGAGCCCTTGGTCCACTGGCTCCTTTGCACGTGCGGCTGCATGCGACTGCTGTAGTGCCCCATGCAGTTCCAGTCGTTGTTGCACGCACTGCATTGGGGCGAGAGTTGAGAGGCGAGAAACGAAGAGCATGGGGTGAGTAAAGACACTGAGGGCGGAGAAAATGGGAGAAGCAATAGAAATGAAGATGGATTTGTTAAAAGAAGAGGCGTGGGTAAGCGAAGTCCTAGGATGGCTGTGCGCGCAGGCAGGCATTGAGGTGCATGAAGTAGCAGACACCCTCAAGTAGCAGGCATTGAGGTGCATGGACACGTTCCTTCACCCACCCACCTGTGCAGCAGACTCTGGTTTTCCGCCATCAAGTAGCGATAGGTGAAGGGGAAGTCGTGCAGAGGCATGCAGCTGTCGGGGTGGGATGAAGGGTGGAGGGCAAGGAGGTTGATGAAGGGTGGGTGATGGGGAAGTCGTGCAGAGGCATGCACCTGTCAGGGGGATGGGGCGAGAAGGACACCCAAACCATGAATTTGGCGGCTGAGAACAACTTCTAAATCGTAGAGTTTCCCTCCCTTCGCCACTTACCCGCTGACCCACCCACCGACCCATCCACGCACCCACCCAGTCACCCACCCACCCCATCGAATCCAATCCCACCCCCTCATGCACGACTCAGAGCCAATGAGGAATCGCTTGTTGGCCGGATCAGGCAGTGCGTTCGCCAGGAGGCATCTCACCCACCCACCCACCCATCCCATCCCATCCGACCCACCCATTCATTCACTTCATCCCTCCTATCCCACCCCCTCACGCACGACTCAGAGACGATGAGGAATCTCTTGTTGGCCGGGTCCAGCAATGCGTTCGCCAGGAGGCGTCGCTCTGCCGCCACCATGGAGGGGTCGCCCCACTGCACCTTCTCACTGGGAATCTCCCGCGCGTAGAACACCGGCGACGAGTCCAAGGGATACCGGAACCCCGGCGCTGCATGCACGTAGATAGAGTACCGCCGCTCGTGGCCCTGAGGGGGGAAATAAGGGGTAGATGGAGCAGCGGCGCGACAGCCGAGGTGTAGGGGATGTTGAGGCAGGCGCAGATGGTGGAAAAGAGGGGGGGGGAGAGTGTGTGGTGGCAGTGACAGTAGGGTTTGCAGGTCGCACCGAAGGTAAGACAAGACAATGGAACATAATGGGGGGTGCGAAGGTAACCTCGGATCATGCAGCAGCATGGGATCTCACCTGAAGGTACCTCTCCCATAGTTTACTAAGAGGCATGGGCCCTCTCATTTGCAAAAATAACTCTGCTTTCACTCACTTGCAGCAGCAAGGAAGCTCACCCGTAGGTACCTCTCCCATAGTCTACTAAGAGGCATGGGTCCACGTGTCAGGAATAGGAACGCGACGCGGTCCTCCTCCCCCTGACCGCTCCCCTTGGGCTGTCCCTCGGGGTACAGCCTCCGCACCCTATCAAACAACGCCACGTCAGCGGCGGATAAGACCGGCTCGTCCATGCTTCCGGGCGGTGGGCCTTGTCTCATCTCCTCGTCGGAGCATCTGTGTCCGGTAAGGTTGACGCAGGGAGACTCGTCCTTGGCTAGCAGGCGGAGGTACGCTGGTGTGGGATCGGTCGGAGATCCCGCGAGGGACGGAGGGATGGAGGAGGAGAGGAGGAATCATTTCCAGGTAATGTTGAGTGGGAAGAGGATGAGTCTGTGTGTGGGTGTGTCGTCGAGCGACCGTAACTGTCGCGGGTTTCGCCCGCATCTAGAGCGGATCCTGAGCTCCCTAGGCTTCGCAAATGCCTTCGCAGCGACGGCGAAAGCAGCACGGTAACCGCGAGAAACGCGGATATACCTAAGGCGACGGGGAGGATGCTACGTTTGGTGCTACGGCCCTTGGGATTCGCGCGCCTTGGAACACTGCTAGCGGAACCGGCGCTCCCTGCTAAGACTCCTCCTTTCGCGACGACAGCCGGCATTATTAATCGCCTCTGAGTTTCCTCACAAACGTTAACGAAATCGAGGGAGATTTAAACCGACCATCGAAGACTATGGCGCTAATCTCTCGCGAGGACTGAAGATCGAGGCGACGCGGAAGCTCCTTAAAGCATGACTGCAACGTTCTGACAATAGGGACGTCTTTATGAAACTCAGGCTGCAGCCGCTTCGGCACGAAATGCTGCGCACATTCCGGAGCTACTGTGTTTTGCTTTTCGGAATGCCATAGATCCTTGGAAAAGCTCCCGCAGCAAGCTGATTCAAATCAGACACCTGACGTGACTCACGGAATATGACTGGTCCAGATCAGCCTAGCACCGCCAAACAGAAGCTGTCAGAGTGTCAGAAGAAGCTTTCATCCACCCGCACTATTCTCGCAAATTTTCAAATACACATTTGAGCTATAGCAAGTTTGTATTCGTGTATTGATTGATACGACGCCAGATTGAATATTTTGAAATCGGTTCGTTCCAGAAACGCGGATCTGTTACACTACCTTGGGATCTCCTCCAAACTCTTGCCAGTGAGGTGAAGCGTGTGGGTGAAGCTCCCCTCCCCTTCACTGAAACAGCACCTTGTTCACAGAAATCTCCTGAACTTCCCATTTTCCGCCATTTCTGTTTCTACCACTCACCATGATCTGAGATGCTCCATTCCAGAGCCACATCAGTCGTTCGTCCCGGGAAGATCCTTTCCCGTTATCTCTCGAATTATCGATCGTTTTCGGAGGAGGTATTTTCTGACTTCGGGACAACTTGCGTAACCAGAAGGCTTGATCTTGAAAGACTTGCGATGCTTCACGTAAGCGTACCATCTAACGCGCTCTCGTGCCGTCCGTTGCGCAGCCTACACAGCACTCCCGTCGCTAACGCGAACCGTAACGACAAACGAGGATGCCACGTGACGAACCTGCATCAGTCCCCCTCTCGTTCATTCTCCACGTCAGCCACTTTAACCTCGCTCCAACCTTCCAACCGTAGGCCTTCCCGTCGTCTCCTCCCAGGCCTTTCGTCCTCCGTCGTAGCCGTTCAACTCCCAATCTCAGGCTTGTCACCGTCATTCGTAGTTCGCGCTCTCCCTCCGTCACTTACTGGCCTGTCCACGTCTGGCCGGAGTCTCTTTACCTCGGGATTCCCTTCCTTGTCGAAATCTCGCCGCGATGAGCGGAAGCTGGGGATCGCACCAGGTGGGGTAGCATGGCGGTGCGCGAACAGGGTATTGCGGGGGATGCGGGGACGAGTGTAGCGACGGTGGTAGTTGAGGCAGAGGCGGAGGCGGAGCGGAGGGAGGGGCTGGGGGGAGCGGAAGAGGAGAAGGCGGAGAAGCTACAGTACGTGCCGTTGCACACACACAGCGACTTCAGCCTTTTAGACGGAGCCAGCCAGGTGCGTGCGTGGGCCCTTGTGGCCCCTTACAACGAGTAGAACGAGTATCGCGAGCAACACGTCTGATTTGATCTTGGCGCTTGTCATTCCCGCGTCCTGATTTCCCCCATCCTCTTGCTCCTGCTGTATACCCCACGTGATGGCAGTTGAAGGGACTGGTGGCACGGGCCAAGGAGCTCAACATGCCTGGCATTGCGCTCACTGACCATGGCGGTGAGTTTGCTGTACGCCTCCTCTCCCTGCCCCAACACCAGCTCACTGAACCCCCATCCCTGCTCGCATCCCTATCCTTTTCCCAGTCCCTGTCCTCGTAGGCGATTCTATCACCTGAAGGCCATGTGATTTTCCGCAGGCCATGGCGGAATCAAATGTCATTGTCGGAACAAAATGTACGTATTGGGTGGTTTTTAAGGTGCCTCGCGAATCCCTCCCCATCCCCTCCCGCTGCCCACTCCAGTGATGTACGGTGCGCTGCAGCTGGTGCGCATGTGCGAGGCGGAGGGCTTAAAGCCCGTGATCGGCAACGAGATGTACCTCGTGCATGACGAGGGCGCTCCCGCCGCCCTGCTGCAGGCCGCACGTGTTAGGGTTGGTTCGCCCAACCACGGAACCTACGGCGAAAGCTTCTACGACGGCGGAATGACGGCGAAATGGAAGCATGTGGATGATTCTAGGTGAAACGGTGGAAATCGGCCTACGGTGGAGAATGGAAGCTACGGCGTGAGAAGCGAGAGAGAAATCGGGAAGAAACTAGAGAAATGGAGGAAGAAGAGTGAAGAAGTATCGAGATTGAAGTTGGCGAGGGGAAATTGTGGTTCGAGCTCGAGGCGTGTTCGAGAAGGTTCCAGATTCGGTCTTGAGGAGTGTTCACCGAATTCGGTTCGGTTGCGTGTGCGACTCGGGGTGAAACGAGGCGCACGCGGTTACTTGGGAAACAAGTGAAGTTACGAATCGCATTTGTGTCTTGCCTGACTATAAACCTGTTTGTACTCATTCTTGAAATACAACATTGGACAACATTGATCAGTTGGTGATTCTGAAAATTGCTGAAGTGTGTATTGACAACTTCAAGCAGAGCTACGCATATCGTTGGATTCGGGAGATCGTGTAGAACACGATAAGCAATAGCAAGTAGACTATTTCCGACTAAGGTGTTTACGATCCTAAGAACCGGTATCAGAGCTTGGCGAACGGTCGCGTCGGTCGTCGTAAATTCACTTGGTGCGCTAAGTGAAATTAGTGGAGAAGAGGAGTCGTTCACGCCTACGCTATGGGGAGACGAGGCGAGTTCGGGTTCCAGTGTAAGTCTTGGAGACCCGCAGTTGAAGGCTCTCTCGAGGCCCTTGCGAGTGGCCGATTGGTGGCGAAACCGACGATCGGGCTCAGTGAAGCCCAGCGCTTCAACGGGAGCAACTACAACGTGTGGCGGAAGAAGTTCATTCGAAGGGCAGAGGAGGTGGACCTCTTGCCGTACTACCGTCCCGACGAGGAGACGATGGAGGGATGTTGCGCCTTCCACGATGGATACGAAGGAGAAATAGCGGTGTTCAAGAAACAAAGTAAGCAAGCGTTCTTTCAGCTTT